GAATTGCAAATATTAGCGAAACAATAAAAAACAAATGCGTATCGAAAAGACTGAAAAATTAATCCATATAATTTTTTCTCAACGATCTTGCTCTCCCAATCTCCCAAACTTGGATATTTGTATGTATACCTATTTAATCATTATACAATCACACATTTATAAAATATATAAATGTCCACTGTAGTTGTTTTCATAACATTGTGGATAGGTATAATACATACCGCAATATGACGTATAATTTATATGTATACACAGGCAATATTCACATCTGCTAATATATGACTATAATTGTGCTATTCTGCCAGACAAGCACTTGCCAGGGCTTCAAGCATAGTCATCAGGAACCACGATATTATTTATGATAAGGCATTTTATCAGTGCACTGTAACTATACGAAACAGACTAACAGAAAAATAGCAGAGCTCTTACATAAGAGGAGAACACGACAAAAACTTGGGCAGTAAAAAATTAAGGAGGACATTAAATGTTAACCTTACATGATGGATAAAATTCTAGCTTATATTTGTAGGCCAATGTGTAGGCGTATGTTAAATCAAATCTCATTTACCTTTAGTTCGAAAATCGATTAATTTTTTATTAATATTTAACTCAAAAAAATAACAATTTTAATAAAGGAGATAATAGATGAAATGAAAAAAAAAACGATTTTATAAATATATATTATTATTTATAACATAAAAAAATAATGCCCAATTCTTTTAATTGATTAACGTCCATATAGAAGGTATATTTTAACCGAGATTCTAACAATTCACATTTATGTATGGTATTAATCATCTTCCGATTTTCTTAGAGCACTAATACAAACGTGACTCATAGTTTCGTTACGGACTAATGCTTAAACTACCAGAGAACTGAAAAAATGCAGTATTTTATTATACAATTATTATTATGTGAATGCGACTTATAGTGCATATATAACTATACAATCCACAGGTATCTTACACATTTTTCTTTCACTTTCTATCCTATAATCTAATCACACAGTCTAAATATCGTTCAAAAATAAAAACTACCAATTGTCCGCGTTGCGGCCATTGCACTCGGGCAACCACAAAACTACGCACCATTGAATAGCCACATTTTTCATTTTGTTACAATTTATTTCCAATTCGATGGGAAATATTAAAATGAATTTTTACTATTGGTATATATTATTATGAAAATTGTGTTAAATAAAAATACTAAGACACGTCCAAATGTAAACAAAGATAGAAATCTTTGACAACAAGTACACGATTTCTTAAGCAACTACCTAAAGACACTTCGAAAATTATTTACCCAACGGCGACGTGCATTCAGAAGACATATAAACGATGACAGCAATAATTAGACCGACAGTAGAATATAATCTATAACGCCACGAGGTGCCTCAACAAGATTCATTCTAATGTCACAAGACTACATGTACACCAACGCACTGATAACTATTATTATTATTATTATTTTCGTTAGAAATGAAAAAACATAAAAACTGGTTAAATAAAATAATAACCTTACATTCAAAATATAAACTGTTAAATGATTATAGTCGTATTACAATGTTTTAGAGGAAAAAAACTATAGAAACTAAAATCTGTTTTATAAAAACTTCAACGTCATATAACAATGAAATTTTACAATTGTTTCAAAACACTGTCCGTAAAACTCACTCTCCCTATATGTACTCATATTTTAGCGAAATAACTTCATTGTATATTTTATGCTATCGACTGAAAAAATCCCTTCCGACTGGCGTCACCCTAAATACGTCCAATGAATATTTTATAAGATAAACACACAGTAAACATTTGTATCAACTAGTAGACATGTTTTCATTCTTATGCGAAAAATATAACAATTTTACGGGATCGCGAAGTATAAAGCTATTTTTAAATATCCATATGCTCGTATTATATTAATAATTATCATGTATATGTGCGTATGTATTATAAAAGTTTAAATAATAATTCAAACGATAAACACTAAAATTACTAATTATAACAAACGCGATTTAAATACAAGATTATTGGTAATATACTATAACTATATACTAAAAAACGCAACTTATAATCCCTTAGTTGATTATAGGTACCTATAGCATAATATTAATTTATTTTATCTTGAGCAATCGCTCTGCATACATATATATTTATAGAAAAAATATATATCTCGTATACGTGTATCGAAATAAAATATAATTATTACAAGAATACAACTACGTTTAGATGAACGCGTCTACGCCGAATATCGAACGAGAAATAATAAGGACTTGCGTTTTTAATGCATAGTGTAATATTTTAGTCCATAACATTACATTAATTTACGTGGGTCGCTCCCCTCCCCACGAGATAAACTGGTGTACGTATAGACACATGTATATACATATTGTATTCTACATTCAAGGTCAATGTCATAGCACATAGAAGTTTCAGAAGAGTTGAATTGCAGGATATAAAATTGCCAGGTGGTCACCTGGCAACACCTGTCTTTATGTAATAACAATAGGTCCAGATAGTCCAGGTATACAAAGAGTGGAGGTACTTCGCAAATTTACGGAAATTTCTGTCATTTCGATGTTGTAATAACGCTTATATTTCGGATTAAACCAAATAATAGGCGTACACCATCGTACACCGAAACAATAATTTTTACACTGCGTTATATCCGCTAAATAGATGCACAATGAAAAACCTTGACATTGACCGTGAATATTCAGTAAGATAAATCATAAGCGAATAAATGTCTATTAAGAACAAAATGTACATAGGTTGATGAATTTCTTGCAGTTTATTATTATCAATCACAAGTAATTACTAAAATTACTTCGATGTCAAAATATAGGTGGTTTAAATTTTATCAAATCGCATACCTTATAACTGCATGCCTTATTTATACTTTAATCATTTTCATGATAAAAGAGAAAATACATAAGCATAATTTTCCTCACATATTGATGTCTATAAAAAAGTTAGGAAGTTGTAATACTTTCTAATAGGGTTTTTAAAATGTCTAATACGCATAAATCAACCACAATCGCCCGTCGGATGAAATATAAACTACGGGTTCGTAAAATTATGATCGAAATCATCGGTATATAATTATACTCTGCTGGGACGGGTGTGTTATGCGTGGGTGTATTGTAGGTAATGTATGTGCTCGTAATGAGCCGAATATATTTCGATTAAAAGCGGTTAAAAACAAGGAAATCAAATCCCGAATCGATTGAACGTTATACGTGCATATATTATTACACTTATGATTTATTAAATATCATTTGTTCACTTCATAATGTTATATATATTTTCAGTCGGCTACAAGTATGATATGTGATTAAAGAAATGTGCAGTATGATTTATACACGAACACTCGTCTGTCGATGGCCTTATATGAAAACGGAGATGATGTGCATTACCTCGTGATCGTCACCACCGAGTACCCAGTGTTACGATCTATAGATTCCATGGACACAGCTGGGTAGCAACACAATAGGGTGAATTTTTTTTTTTTTTTTTATGGAGCGGAAAATTATCAGGTTACCTCGGTACCAATAAATAGAAGCGGAGATGATTTGGCGATGGTCTTTTGTGCGTTCGCGCTGCTGTGCAGGTACGTACATCCACACACACACACACACACACACACACACACACACACACACACACTTGAATGCGCGCGCACACACATAATACATAACATACGCACGGGAATAAACGCGACTACATGGAGATTCGATTTTTTTTCCTCGTTCTCCGAAAACACCTGGCACAGGTTGCTACACACACAACAGATATACACGTATACATGTGCCCCGTCATGGTCCATCGGGGGGGCATTGTAGTAACGGCGAATACCGGTTATTGCGCTTCATCGCCGCCACCGCGTTTATACCACGAGATCCTGGCATCACTTTGTGCCGCTCTTACGCGATCTCTTCTCCCTTGTTCGATTGACGATTTGCGTACCTACACGGTTTTATACGACGGTAACAAACGGAATCGGACAGGAAAAAATGTTAGAAGCATAGTGCGCTGAACGAACTGTATGAATTGAGGAATAACATATTCTATGTTTTAAATCATTTTTTCTTACAACATAAAACGATACCGAGTTGCACGTAGGATACGTGATACTTTTCTTCCGATAGCAACCCTTTTTATGTTGACCGAAATGTATTGATAAAAAATGTTATTATAATGCGCAACTATTATATAGGCTAAACGACGAAACATTAACCGGTTGTTTCCCGGAAGTACGCCGAAGCACACTTGCTGCACAACAGCGGCTTATAATAATTAATTCATCTCGAAAATGTTCCATTAAATTACAATTTTGTAAATATAAATTTACAGTATACTAACAGTTCAAAAATAATACCTAAAAATACGTAAAATAAGAAAAATTGTATATATAAAAAAAAAAAAAAAATTGCATGTCGTTATTATATTTATACAGTCGAGTTTAATGCCAACGTACAACACATGGAAAACATCATCTACTTAACGTATAGGATGTTACCGAAAAACCGTTTCGCCAATAAACAACTCGTATAAGATCTATCATAAACGTATAAATTAGATTTCTCATCCGTAGTCTAACAACAAAGATAATAATAAATGTATCCAGAAGTGATTTTTGTTTTTTTAATCTATCAAAAACCAGTTTGCTGATCGACCAAGATTCGCACCCACCTACGGATTTCACCTATTAATAACAACTAATCACGGACGAAAAAAATTGCAACAGTCGTTGTTCCACAGAAACGAAACGCCTAAACATATCCGATGTAAAAGTGTAGCGCCTAAAAAACCCGTAAAATAGACGTGGAGAACTTAAACGGACGGATACGTAACACCTAAATAGACTTGATGCGAAAGCGGAACAAAAAAAATACCTTATGTGTACAGTATCTACACACAAGGTACCTATATTATAATAATGTCTGGTAATGAATACGTTAAAATATGTGTATCGAACAATGCGTGTAAGCTTCAACGTACCTCGGACAGATCGCTAGTCCACGCTAGCGTGTCGATAACCGTTTTGTCGTTGCCGTTGAAACTTAACGCTAACGCCGAGCCGCACAACAGCATTAGGGTGACGACCAGACCCGGAGCGATGGTGAATGTCGACCTCATGTTAAAATTCGAAGAAAATGGATTGGTGATAACTACGACGAAGACTTCAACGAATCTTCGACAGCAAAAATACTTTATCCGCAACTTTATGAAATCGTTCAGATGCCGTAGCCGAATTCGAAAAACATAACTATTTGTCAAAAAAAAAAAAAAAAGAAAAAAACCAAAAACCCGCGGTCGAGTGAAGTTAAAATGAAAAACTTAAAACAAAGAAAAAAAAAACAATAAACAACGACTACGCGCGACGACCACTAACGGACGAAGACACGACGACAGCAGTGGTTTAACGGACACCGGTAACGGACAGACTGACGACCGGTGAGAAAAAACCGCGGGATGGTACGCCGGTGCTGTTACCGCGAGATCGGTACAGCGTCTGCTGACGGCGCCCTGCGAAACTACGCGCGGCAGGCGGGCCAGTCGGTCCGGATCAATATTTCCCGCCACCGACGCGGCGCACTGCATTTCGAAACCAGGGCCGCCCGTCCCGCTCCCCGCTCACGCGCTTGCGCTACCACCCGGTGGTAGTGATGGCGATCGTTACTACTGCTGCCCCGTCGTGGCAGCGGTAGAAGTAACGGCAGCAGGCGACAGCGCGTCGATGACCGTATTCATTGAGGCGGTTGTCATCATCGTCACAAGATCGCGATTGTGGAAAACAAAATATATATATGGATATTTTGAAGAGAATCTAACCTATTGAGCTGTAATTTTTATAAATTAATAAAATGCATATTGAATATTTTAAAATAATGATTTGAATTCGAATTTACGCACAATGTATTTTAATAGATTTTAACGTGCATTTTAAATTCATTATTCATGTATATGAATAAAGTAAGTATTCATTATTTGTACATAGGTATGGCGCAATAAACAAATTTGATACAGGTTTACAAGACTGGGTGGATGAGTCTGAAACGAAGTATGTCCATGTTTACATTCCGGCCTTAAAAGCTTAGGCAATAATTATTTAAATCTATACATTTCTTAACGCGTTTTAAACGTATTTTTATTGCTTTGAATGTATTTTAAGTTAATTTTATAGTACCTACTTAAAAAAAAAAAAAAGCATTTTTTAAATTTTAAACGTGTTTCAATAATTTTATAAATTTATTTTTCTAGAAATCAAAAGAAGAATATTTAAAGACACAATTGTTATGTATCATATTCGTAATATTTAAAAAAATATATATAATATTTATTACATAAGTTTAAAACCCTCATTATACTACATAATCACAAAACAAATAAATTAAGCCGGTTGCAGTATAAATATTATATAAAAAAAACTCATTTTTACTCTTAGTCATAAAGTTAAGTAGGTATCATATTTAGGTTGTATTCAAACATTTAACATTAATAAATTTAAGTACTGTATGAAAGAATCAATTAAAATTAATATACTGTTATTGAAACTGTTTCAAACGCAAAAATACATTATACTAGATATGTATGTGTTTAAAATAATAAAGAGGTCATTTGGAATATTTTACGACCCCACAGCAGAGATTTTGTCACCGATGAATATTATTATACTTTCGCACAATGCATTATTCGCACAGCCCGTGGATAGTATTGCCAATGATTTGGAGTTGTATTTTAGTTGCGACGCCGCGTTTATCGATTGTCTTCAGCGATCCAACGAATGAAACGGGTACAAATCACGTATGTACGCGACATCGAGTAACTTCTGAACGGTAACTCATAACGCACAGAGGAAGGAAACGAAGTGTACAAGGTATAATGTGTTATGTATATAACGCACGGTTTTCAATTCATCAAACGCGAAAATGACGTCATAAATAATATGCACATCAATACACCATACACATCAGTTATATAAAGAGCAAGATTTTAAGATTATAGACACGCTTGGAGTGAAAAATAAATTCAATACCGTTAATCTTTTTAAATCCTTCAACAATTTATATTAATATGGTATTGTTCTTATTGTTAATTTACAATTAGTGATTGCAATCATTAACAAATTTTTCATCTAAATGATAATCAAAAAAAAAAATAAATAAATAAATATAAAATATGCTTCTTGCATCAGATACCGCAAATAGAAAATAAAATAAATATGAAATATACGGTTTACTTGGGATAATTTTAGGAAACATTCATAATCCTTGTTGGTATAATATCACAATTGAAATCTGTTTAAAATATAATTCATACTTTACGTAAGATTGCACCATAAAATATATTTACTGTATAATATTGTTATTGCTAAATGTAAATCACATTATCACAATAGGATCAAAAATTCATTAATAAATAGAGGCAGCTTTTCACACACTGCTTTCTTGTATTGAAGTATTGTTGAAATATACAGCATGTTTCTCTTAAGCCATAAGCGCAATATTTATATTGTTAGGAGAAAATTCATCTTACTTCTTATATGTTTCAATAATAGTGAAATGTTATTGATTAAAATAAAATTGATAATTCATTTATTTAAAGTAGTTATATTGAACAAGCATAAAATAGATATATGTAGTGATGAACTCATTAATTTTGTTGAGAGTATACTATGCCAACAAATGTCAGAATATGGATATTCTCATGATTTAGATGGTGATGTTGGGAAAAGGTTGAAAATATTAAAAAAAAATTGTAATGTATACATTTTTATTTTTACAGAAATATAAATTAAAATTATTTAAATAAATTTATACCATTGTAAATACATAGTATACTGTCAATAATTACTTCAAAGTAATTATACTAATTGTCTAAAAGAAAACCGAATATCTATTACAAAATATACAAATACTACAGGCTAACATTTAAACCTGTAAAATTTAAATCTGTATTACAATCAATACTTATCCGCGAAGTCTTTGAGACTTTAGTGAATACGTAGTATACTCGTGAATTTTCAAAATTATGTTGAGAGCATATGACGTATTTATTGTATACCCTATGGAACACCATTGAATAAATGTTTAAAATTAATTATTCCAAATCAACGTGAAGTAGTTAAATTTTAAAATATAAAATATAGTCATGATATTATTATAATTTTGTGTAGCTTTACTATAAAATAACATGAATTAATATTAATTAGTCAATTTTTTATTATTAAAAAAAATTATCTAGAAAATATATAATTTTGAAATATAATTTGTTTTCTTTTGAAAGTAAATATATTTGTCACTCTACTATACCACTAATTTTACAAATACAGAAGTAGTTAAAGTATTTGACTGGCTATTATGTAACATAAAACAAATGTAATTCATTTTAAACGTTCAATAAACAACCATATTATAACCGCCTTATATTTTTAAGAATATGCATCTAATTATGCAAGTGTCTAGTTAAAACATGAAATTTTGACTACGCATGTGAAAATATAAACATATAGTAAAGAATTTGATATATTTAAAAAATATTTAAATCACAGTTGAAGGAGACTCATTGGTGTATCAAACAAAAATATTTTTTTAGTTGTAAGCTTAGTTTTCGAAGTTATTCTTTTTATTTATATTGTCATGCACAACTCATATTCAACAAAAATCATAATGTATTATATACTCGTATATACAATAAACATGTCACATAATAGTACTTTTCTACATAAACTAATTTAATATCTACTATAGATTTGAAATTACTTATATTTAGGTTTACATAATTCATAAAATAATTATTTAATAAATCATATTTAACCTTGAAATATTTCCTTAATAACATTATTTTAATAAAAATTAAGATAGATTTACGGGAAAACTATTATAAATTCCATTTTCACGACAGTTTAAGATGCAGATATATAGATACGTGTACTTATTCATATTTATATAAAATAACACATTATTTACTTTGTATATATAATTAACTATGAACGCACGTAATAATATCATATATACATATCAAATAACAAATTATACATATTCACATCCGTCTTTAAAAAATTTATCTTAAAATGTCTAATGGTTTTCATAACCATTTATCAAAAGACAAATTATACATATATTAAAAGAAAATTACTTTTTTTTCTTCTTTTTTTAATTTATTTGATTTTTATAGTTAAAAAAACACACATTTTATAAAATTATAATTTTAGCTTATAGATGTAGCACACAGATAGGTTTGTACGACAGAGCGGTGATTTTTATCAAGCTATTTTAATATGGATAAAGCGAGTTGCCCCTTTTTTAACACATTGTGTTCCTGATTGAATTATTCACCAAATATAACAATATAACTATCACTAATTGAATGATAATAGATTTGAAGACATTCTTACTAATGTTTAATATTTTTTAATAATGGCCTACACATACAAAAATAAGTAGAGAAAAGTTTTTCAAACATCAACTACAACTACGTAATAGGTACTTAAAATACACGAATGAAACATATTTGAAGATAAAAATGTATTTATTATATTTTAATAAATAATCATATTATGCGTTATGATGCTTTGAATATTATATCCAACTGTTTGCAAACAGTTCGTCTAATGAGAAAAATTATGAAATTACATCACTAAACACCGTTAACACTTAAAATACTATAAATGTATGCCATATACGCATCAATCATTATTTGATTCATATATTTATATTTTATTACAAAATACAAATATCAAATCATTAATTAGTAAATGTAGAAGATTATATTTCTTTATACTGCATTAATAATTCCTTTTGGAATTAGTGGTGACATTATTTAATACCTATTACATTATTTTTTACAACATCGACTTCGACAGAAATATATTTTTTGAAACTACAATAGATATATCAAAACAAAAAAAAAAATTCGTTCTAAATAAATTCCTACGCGTAATTTCTCATTAACCTGAAATGTTTTAAAAATACAATAATGATATGTATTAAAAAATTTAAGCATATTAAAAGTACCAAATTTAATAGTCTATTATGTTTTTAACTTAGAAACAAAAGTTGTTGTTTTTAAAACAACATAATTTTCAAGATCATTATATAATTAAAAATTAATATATAATTTTGACATTAGTAAAATAAAATAACAATTTTCTTAAAATATATTTTTTTTAATTATTTTACTAAAATGTCAAAAACGGAAATAAATTAAATTTGAACAGTATAATCTAATATAGTATCAACCAAAATAATTTTAATACACTTGAAATACATATCATTATGCATTTACATAGTATAATACTATATGCTTTCATGATTTAACACAAAATAGTTTAAGCACGCATCCTAAAACCTCCGATGAAATGATTATTTTAAGTCTAGTTTAAGGTACATAATAAAATCTCAGAGGAAAAATTAAATGTTCGTTAGTAAACAATTTGTATGTTTTTAATTACACAATTATAATAAACAATAAAAAAATAGTTTATCCGTTAAAAGCAGCGTGTATGTCTAAAA